GAGTGTTGCCCCAGGGGCCCCTCAGGTGCCCCCTGTCAGCTCGCCCCCTGGTGTGGTGGGGCTGATGGGAGGAAACGGAGGCAGTGTCGGAGTAGTTGGAGGAGTCAACTCTGCACCGGCCAGACCACCAAGCGGACTCAAACAAAATGGTAGCACAAGTATGTTGTTATGAAAATCAGTTCTGTTCGTGTTATGTGTCTGAATGCTGGAGATCAGATATAAAGTGTTCTCTGTTCTGTGTTTTCAGGTTACAGCGCGGTTGTGGCAGAGAGTTCTACAGAGTCAGCTCTGAGCACACCGAGCCAGTCTCAAAGCAGCCAGCCTTCATCACTCAGCTCCTCTACCAGTCAGCCGTATGTTCACCTGCAGTTTGTGCTTGGATTATTTTTTATTAATATCTTCATGTTTTATTAAATCAGATGTGTTTCTCTGCTCTTCAGAATGGACAATGGGCCCAGTTTAATTAGCTCCATCACTCTGCCTCCAAGCTCTCCGTCCCCGTCCTTCTCTGACAGCACACCAGGGGGTGGGAGTCTTCTCAACGGGCCCCACTCGTACTCTCAAGCTTCTGAGGGCCTCAAGGTAAAGAAGTTAATGCACAAACAAGTATTATGTACATATTATGTGTTAGAGCTGCATTTGTTTGATGGTGTTCGAAGAGTCTGCAGAACTAAGTTCTACGTTAATAAGATAATATAATTAAGTTGATCATTTAATATAATAAGATAACTAAGTTAATACTTAGGTTTGATTTTATTATTTTAATGTGAGTAATGTGTCTGTCCAACACACCACCTTGAGTTTTCATTGATAACAAATTTAGATTGTTGTATGGACACAGCACATACTACTTATAATACTGAGACCAGCGACTGTTCGTTTGCTTCAGACTTTAGGACTGTGGTATAACTGTGTTGTTTGTGCCCCACAGGCCCCGGAGCCTCTGAGTTCTCTGAAGGCGATGGCGGAGAGAGCAGCTCTGGGCTCAGGTCTGGACGGAGAGATCAGCAACCTGCATCTAACAGACAGAGGTCAGTGTTTACTCTTAACACTGTTTTTATCTGTTTCCTTATGTTAAGCGTCTTTGGGTATCTTGAAAAACACTATACAAGTGTTTAAGGATAGGACAAGATCTTGTAGTATGAGAACATCTCCTATCCTTAAACACTTGTATAGTGTGAGATAAATTTGCAACAAGATTGTGCAAGACCAGAAAAGTGCTTCTGAGTTATACTTCTGGAGAAACTGCATTTCAAAAAAACTGTGTAATAAGGACAACAAAAATATGAAATTGTAATGAAAGTATGAAAACTGAAGAGGATAGCCCAGTTTATTAATGACTTATGTCTAAATCTCATCTCATCTTTGACTAAATCTCGTGTCTTGTCTTGTCTTGTGGGAATTGTGGCCCCCCTACAAGTGCTATGTATTATTATTAGAACTGAGACATGACCACATCATACCTGAATACTCTCTCATGACACTATTTTCCTGCAGATATTTTCTCTGGCTCGTCTGCAGCGCCCGGCACACCCGCTGCTCCACAACCGTCCGTCTCTGAGGTCAGCATCCCGCCGTCGCTCGGGGTGTGTCCTCTGGGGCCAACGCCGCTGCCCAAAGACCAACTGTACCAGCAGGCCATGCAGGAGTCTGCCTGGACACACATGCCGCACCCCTCAGACTCTGAGAGGATCAGGTCAGGACACTTTATGTACAAACATGTGTATTATGTGTTGTCTGGGCAATATGGTGATAAAAACTGAATCATGATCTTGTCCCTGTGACAGTGTGCTCTGTTGATGAAATTGTAACTCACTTTCTCTGTTTAATGCAGCTGTCAGCTCAAATACAGACTTCTTTTTCCACCAGTTTTCCTTTTGGTCAGCCAATGTAACGCTCTGACTGAAGTTTTATAAGAGGCAGATGCCTTTCGAATTGCCTCTGAAAAGGCAGTAGAATGTATATGACTTCGAAATTGTGATCTGACTCCAAAAAATTTAGATTTTCTTTTTTAATAACATGTGTAGTAACATGTGTTGAAACATGTGTCACTATAATCACTATACTGAATTATCATTGAGTTAATGAATAGAACAATCATTTTTTGGGGTCCATGTTTATCGTGGGTACATTTTCTCTGTAGCATTAGGAAACAGTATTTTTCTTAACTGCAACAAGTTTTGAGCAGGAGAGTACTGAACAAATAGTTTATACAACTCATTATAGATACTGACTTCTAAAATGTACTATTCTAATATTTGGGATAATTATGCTTTAGGGTTTTTGTGTCAGTGGCATAATTTTGTTTCAGTATTTTCATTTATTGTTTGTATTTTCTCTAGGAATATATTGCACTTAAGAATGTGTTATCATGACAGGGTTATGTACAGTGACATGTGTAATAACATGCCCTGAAACATGTGTAATAATAGTTGTGTTGTGTGGTGTCCCACAGGCAGTACCTGATGAGGAATCCCTGTCCGACGCTGCCATTTCACCACCAGGTGCCGCCACATCACTCTGACTCTATCGAGTTCTACCAGAGACTGTCCACAGAAACACTGTTCTTCATCTTTTACTACCTGGAGGTAACGCACGTCTTCACAGCACCCCCTGTGGCTCTTTTCAGTGTGTAACAGGTGTTGTCTGTCTCAGGGCACAAAAGCTCAGTATCTGTCAGCCAAGGCTCTAAAGAAACAGTCGTGGAGGTTTCACACCAAGTACATGATGTGGTTCCAGAGACACGAGGAGCCCAAGACCATCACAGATGAGTTTGAGCAGGTGAATCTTCTTCATTCACTGTTGGACTGTTTGTGTGACTGTGTCTAACCTCTGTCCTCCCTCAGGGCACTTACATTTACTTTGACTATGAAAAATGGGGCCAGCGGAAAAAGGAGGGCTTTACCTTCGAGTACAGGTACCTGGAAGACCGCGATCTACAGTGACAGCTACAGAACGGACAGAGACAAAACGTGCTGCTGTTGACATTCCGAGACTGAACTCCAAACTGTGGATAGAGATTGTGATGTGTAGTAGAAGCCTCTGTGCGCCCTCTGGTGGCAGACTGCTGTCTGTCCCTGTGGGCCGGTCACACAGTGCTGCAGGGGCTCAGGGGCTGTGCCTGTCTGTGGCATTAGGAAAGCCTACCCCGTGCATGTTTCTCATGTTTCGTTTTCTTTTTCTGTTTCAACAAATTCTCTGTACCACCTGTCCAACATGAGCCCGGAAACCTTCGACTCGACACAAACCAACTGGGGATTTGATTAGAAAACTGCCCATCTTGTATTTACTGTAATTGGTGGTTTAGACTTGGAAGTACAGTGGACATTTAGTCATGGAGTGTAGGAATGGCTTCTTTTAAGACCCTGGGATGCCTGTTAATATGGTCACTATTGGACATAGTGAGCGGTTATCAAAAGTTTTATTGATATTGTCTTGGTCAATTAAACGCTGATTGAGAGTGACCACAGGGCCTCTCCCTGTGACAGGGAAAGAGTCCTTATTGGACATGGATTAAATTGCTATGCAATTGAACTGGTCTCTGACTCCCTCTCTTTACAGAAAATGTTTTTAAGTTATCCTGTCAAAGAAATGCATTATTATGGCGCATTGTTTGTGAGAAATTAATAAACTTGTAAAATAAATCTTAATTATAGGGTTTGAGAACTTTTACTTGTTTTATTGCAGCAGTTTTCTCCACAGCGTTGATGCCGTCGGCCGCACTGACCATAGAGATGAATGTACCACTGGATACATGGATTCTGACCTTTTGTAAGACCCTGCTGTTTCCCCATTTAGCATTAACCTTTCCTGTTCTTTGTCTCACTTCTTCACGTTGTTAATTTTCCACCTGTTTGAGCTGGAGCCGTACAGTGAATGTGCACTCTAACTGTTTACATGTAAATGGTGGTTTATCACTCATGAGCTTTGTGTCCTCATAGCTGTTCTAGACAAACTCAGACCAATAATCCGAGTGTTACATCAACTGGATAATGTATATCCTTTTAAGCACCATAAACAGTGTACTGAAATTTTAACTTAATCTTGAGTAAAATAAGCTCCTGTAGATTTCAGACTTTGGGCAGGATGGTGTCTGTGAAAATATAAAAATGGAAATATGTTCAGTTTAAAGAGATTTGCCTTTTATAGATTCTATTTTTGGGGCTTTTAATGTTTTCAGAAAGGCAACAGTAAAATGTGAATTTCAAGACATAATTTACATTTTCCTCATTACAGTTCTGCATGGGAGATGTCATAAACAGGAGTATATCAGGATTGTACAATTTCAATAAATACTTTTATGAAACAACATGCCAGTCTGATTCTTACTGCAAACAGTGGTGGAAGGTAATGAAGTACATGTACGAAGTAAAAGTACAATGTTTAGGTATCTGTGCATTTTACACTTTACTTTTCCTTCACTATATCAGAGAGCAGGTGTTGGAACTATTTTACTATTTCAACATTTTAGATCTGGACTGAAAAGTAAAAAGTACTTGTTGAAATGGCTTTTTTTTTTTTTAGCATATTTGAGAAAACCAAATACACAAAATCAGCTAGAATAATAAAGAAATTCACTTAAAATTTAATACTTTTACTTTACTCTTAAAAGTAAAGTACATTTTTAAACAGGTGAGTCAATACTACTACTTTTTCTTTGAGATACTTTTACTTGAGTAATGTTTTGCGTTGTTATCTGTACTTTTATTGAACAACATTGAGTACTTCATCCCCCCCGACTGCAACACTTCAGAACTGTGCCCCCAAACTGTCCAAAACATGCACATGATGTAACACGTAGACAAAGACTCTGAACAACTGAAAGTCTCTCAGTCACTTAGGAAAGTTTAACAGCAACAGGCTAAAAAAATTGTCTGGTTTTGTTAATTCTGAAGTTAAACTTATAAAGCAGAGAGGAGTTTTGAGTAAAAGAATTAGGAACAGATGTGTTTCTGTGTAGAATAAATACACCCTTATGTATCCTAAATCAGAATAAAGCATTTCAGTGTACAAAACACAAGTTTATTAAAAACACAAGTTGTACAAATAAAAACTAAAGACGTTTAGAAAACAAAAAACTGTTACAATGAGCAGTTGGCCACGCCTGTTTACTTGGCATCCTTCTTAACTTTGAGGAACTCTGCCATGTTAGAGAAATACTTCTGGTTTGCCTCAGCCACCTTTTTCTCTGCAGCCTGTGGGTTCACAATCTCCAGCCCCTGTAGAAGAATCGCAGTGATCGTCATTTGTTGCATCAGCTGAAACAGTGTTCAATGGAGAATAAAACTGCTGGAGTTGTACCTGCAGAGGAGTGAAGGCCACACTGGAGCTGGTGCCCGAGGAGCGGTCCCTGACGGTCGACTTCCCTCCATACGTCATGCTCTGTTTCTGTAACGTCCTCTGCAAAGACACAGGGCAGTCAGACAGGTGCAGGTGACAGTGGATATGTTCACACGTACCCCAAAAGCTGATAATTATCTGATTTCTGGACAACAATAATTTAATGCATAGAGCACCTGGAGAGACTTGGAGATTCTGGCCTTCGTGGCCTCGTTGACCTGAGCCTGTCGGACACGCCCACTGCCGCTCTTCCCCAGCTGTCCCAGACTGAAGCCCAGGTCCTCCTGATAAGCGTCATCTTCAATCTGCAAACACAAAAGACATAAGGATCAAGACACCAGAAATCTCTGGGGGTGTGATGCTGATGTCACTTTTCTGTCAGCTCTTTTACTGAAGCTAGACTTTAATCTGCTCTTTGTTTTAACACAATCTGACCATATAGAGCTGGTTTAGTTGGAACTACAACAGGTGAGTTAATTTATGCTGTTGAACAAGTCTCGCACACATAAAATTAATAGTCACAAGCAGCATTAGTCAACAGTTTCATTTAGTCACTCTCACCTTTTTGTTGAAAATCAAACACCTAAACAGGATCATGAATGCTCATATTCATCATAGGTTCCTTAAAAATGTGTTTTAATAAAAAATTTTCAAACCATCTTAAAACCTTTTGGCAGTTTTTGCTAATGTGTGCATTGAGTAACCATGAACCAACTCCTGAACATTCCAAAATACACATACATGTAAAACACCCCTAGCTAGATGTGACTTGTATCAATATTGTCACTGATACAGAAATATTGGGTACAAACCTCTGCAAAGGTCATCCTGTTGGCATGTTTTCTAATCTCAGTGAGTCCAAGTCGCTCCTTCATCTTTCGATACCTTTACAAACAGAAACAATAGATTGTGCATCATTAAGTTCTTCCGGTTTAAACTTGGGCAGAAATAACATTTACACCATAGTTTTAATAGAATATTTACCTCCTTCCTCCTCTCTTCTTCCTCTGTCCATCCAGGGGGGCTGGGAGGGGCTTCACTTGCTTGACTGGTGGTGGCTCTTGCCATTTATCAAATTTTCTCTCAATTTCTTCTTTGAGATCATAACCAACCTGCATAAAATGATCAAGAAATCATTTTTATCCTACAGAACAATTGTGGTTTAATATCTTAATACATCTTCTCCAACCATGGACTAAAGATCAAACACCTAAAGTTAAACTCTGAACTCACTTTGCCATCAGAACTCTCATGAAAACTGTCAACTCTTGCTGCCAGGGTACACTTTGCAGATACAAGACGAGCAGCTTTCCTTCTAAGATCCTGATGACAAAAAAAAATGTTTAAATTACAGTAAAAGATTAACTTAAATTTTTAAAACATGATAAATACTTACAGGTGGCAGAGACTGAACAACGTCGCAGTGATATATGAAGCCAGTGTGAGGCAGTAGAGAGGTGCTGCTGAAACCAGACAAAGTTTTCCTCTGGGCTCCGAGAAGCATTAAATTACAGGCCGGCATTTTGGACAGGTTTGTAAGTCCTCCAGCGATACCTACAACAAATTATGACAAAAAAAAATACAAATAAGGGAAAAGCTTAAGAACAGATCTCATAAATCTGCATAAAAAACATCCAGTCTTCAAATATATTTTTTGTTAAACTTCTGAATTCTGTAACACTTTATTTAATAAGGAACTAAAATTCATTCAAATTATGTCACTTTTCTGATGGAGGGTCCACCACCTGCTGATCTTCATGGAGACGCTTTTACTTAGCCACAGTACAGCAGGAAACTTGTATATCTGCCAACAGACATGTAGGTGCTGCAACCAAACAATATAAAATTGACTTGAATAAATGCAAGATGGAAGTTTACCATTCCAGGAAAAGAGGTAACAACTCCATGGAGGCAAGCAGGTACATTCCAAAAAGTTACATAGTGCATCATTAAAAAGGCCATCAGAATTTGTTTTGATTTTTAAATTAAAGCTCAAAGCTCATATATTTGCATATTAGCGTCGTTAAATTGACTTCCAGTTCGTTTTAGAGTTTATTTTAAGGTTTTATTGTCTGTTTTTAAAGCTTTTAATCCACTGGCCCCACAGTACGTCTCAGACCTCATCCAGATTTACTCCCCCACGTGCTCTGAGGTCTGAGAGCCAGCTCCAGCTCATGGTGTCTAAGACAAGACTTAAAACCAGGGGGGACAGGGGGTTGGCCCCAAACTCTGGAACGCGCTCTGGTGTAGCTTTTATTTCATTGTACTGGTTTGACCAAATTTAAGCAATTAACCTTTTTCTTGTCTTCATTTTATAATCTCTGTGCATCACTTTGGAAAGAAATAAAGTGGATTTGGATTTTTTCAGACTTTAGTAAGACTTTGTTTTTTACTAATTTTGTGAATTTACTAGAAAGCACAACACCATCCAAAAACATTCATTTTGTCTTCTTTTGTTCATTAACGTCTTGTGTTCTTTTTAAAGGCAATACAGTAGGAGGTGTATTTACCTTGTTTCAGCTGCAGCTGCAAGCCATTTTCAGAACTGTCTGAAAATGACTTGTAGCAGCTAAAACATGTCAAGGTAAATGCATCTACTACTGTATTGCCTTCAAGAAGAACCCAAGAAGTAAACCTTGATTGCTCTATAGATAAATGTTGATTATTGACTGATTTTTACCCATGATTTTTGCAGCTGTTGATGCTCCCACGATGATGGACAGGTTTGGGGCGATGAAAGACATCCTGGACTCTACGTATTCATAGATTCTGTGTTTTGATTGGTTCAACTCCAAGGCCATGTCACAAGCCTCTTCAAGCTGCTTCAGTTCCTCTTCAGTAAGTTGTGACCTTTAAAAACAATATTAAATTGAACCCTCTTCAACACCTTTGAATACAACATTTTAGACAATTAAGTGGTATGCACCCCTGTGTGGTTGAAGCCGTCACGCTGACCACCATGATTGTGGCATTAGTGAGAATTTGCTGTAGTATCGCATTGTTTTTGCATTTTTCCAAATTGTTTCCAAGTTCCTAGGCAAAAAAGTTTATTTAAATTTACTGAAAACACTGTGGTAGATATTAAACAGATCATGTTTAAATCTTACCTTCACAGTTCGGATATAATCTAAGGAATCAGGGACAAGAGACTCAAGCTCTGGAAACCTTTTGGAGTATTTGTCTCGAGTAAACTTGTGAATAATATCTGAAAATATAAATAACAGATAAGATTCATACACAATTGTGGGTTTTAAATGGACTAACATTAAGATTCACATACTTAGCTCATTGTCGATCTCTACTGTCAGATTATTGGCAGCCACAATAAGTCTGTATTCTGGATCTGCTTCCACTGGTCCGGACACTACAACAGAACCATGAGAATAAGAGTTAATAATCAGCAATCCGATCAGATCAATGATGTTGAGATTAAAAAGGAGGGAAAACTCACCATCTGAATTTTTGCGCTGTTTTCCTATGTAATTTGAAATTTTGTCCATGATTTCTGAAAACTGAAGAAAAACAATGTTGACTGGATGAAGCAAGCTCCACTTTTAATACTGACATTTTTATCAGCACTAAATTATGTAGCTTTGGTGCATTACTCATCCATTCCTCAGTGGGGATATGTGACTACATTTACAACACAATTACCAATTTCACAACTGCAATCTTTATGGTCAATAGAAACTACCACTACAAACAAAATATCTGATCTATTTACAGGAAAATGTGGTTTAACCTTATAACCTTTAAAAACTGTTGTGAAATGTATTGGCTTCTTGTATAGGTTTAGTTTAGTTCACATTCCCTCAGATATTACTGCTTATTGGAGTGTTTAAAATATGAACAAAATCCTGGTTATAATGTATTTTTTAAATGCAAGGAGATTTTCCACTAATATGCAGCCTTACTACTCGGTCATGGTCACCAGCAACCACACTTTCACACTCTCGCGTGCAAAAATGGGTGCGTGTCTTGCCAAAGGACACAACTATGTGAACAAACTAGAACAGGATTTAAACCATCAACACTGACATTTAGGAAAACCATCTGGAGCCCTTTACAGATTTCAGAGGACTGACCTGTTTGCTGTTGCGGAGCTTGGCAATTGACGTGACGCTCTCAGCTTTACTATAGTCCACCTCCATCTCCTCCTCCGGGATGTCCTCCAGACCTCCCTCCACCCTCTGTGCACTCTCCCCATCACTGTCCCCCTCCTCCCCCTCAGGGTACAGCCCGTCCTCCCCCTCATCTCCAGCCTCCTCCAAATCTGCCAGGAGCTCATCTGCCAGAGACATCTTCTGCACGAGCACAATACAAGAGAGAAATTAATGATCAACCCTCAATCAATGCAGCATTTAAAAGGTACACTGTGACTTTTCTGGTGGAGGCTCTGCCACATGATTAACTCCGTGGAAATGCTACTGAGGCAAAAACAGTAACATCTCCATGGAGATAAAGTTACATAGAGCATCTTAATCCATGTGCGTGCAGCTTAACATTTCTGTCTAAGGCAAACAACAAGCAATAACAAAAACTTAGTTTAAGCAAATTTTCAACTTGATATCAACACGTTTTCTTATTTCCCGTGCTTTATGCAGCAACATTAAAGAGGATTGTATTTATGTTTACGTGAGGTTGAAACAAACTGCAGGCTTGTGCTAAGCTAACGTTAGCAAACGTTGGTGAAACGGAGCAGGTCGTAAATAAAAACATGAAAATTCTACAAAACATACCTTAGAGGTTAAATCTGTCCTCGGCTATAAAATGCAGGCCCACTTAGACACAGGTAAATGTGTTTACGGGAGTAAATCCTTCCTCAATGTTTGAATGTTTTCAGAAGTGGCATTTCACTGACGTTCAATGGTCGCAAGATAAATACGTAACAACATTCGCAATGAACTATGGGAAATGTAGTTGATTGATAAGAAAATGCATTACGTAGGTTGTGAGTAGAAATGAAGGGCAATTAATTAATACTGAAGTAATTTCTTTCTTACAGTTTTATTCGCCTTCTTTATACACTCCCTTTAAAATCATTTTAAACAATACAGGTTTGAAACCAACGTTTAACAGACAGATGGACTGGTTTTATCTGGATTGTATGAAAACATGAGAAAATAAACTAATACACAAAAAACTAATGATATTATTTACGGATGAAATTATTCAGTTTTCATGCTAAGCTACATTTATAGTCCTTAAACAAGCTAAACATAGACTGGACAGCTCTAAAATGTAAAGACATGGAAAAATGTGGAAAAATGAATCTAACATACTTCCATACACATTGGTATTATATAAGTTAAATTATACAAAATACTTTTGCAATTATGATGTCTTGGAAAATATCTCTATTTGTTAAGGAATTTTTGTGAAGATATCTCTTCAATGCATTCAGTCCCAAAATAAGCAATATCAATGTAGCTTGAATTGCAACAACAGAATAAATAGCTAAAATGAATAAATATTGCTTAATTTAATAAAATAAATAAATAATGCAATAAATAATAATGTAGTAACGTGTGTAAAGACGTATTTATAAAGAAACAGTTTTGTCGTGCAGTCTAACAATATAGATAAAGAAACCAGTTTTAAAACAGTTTTGATACTTCTGCAGGATGATATTTGTACAATGAGTATTTATAAATACAGTGAAGGGACTTCTGTTTCAGACTGCTACCTACAAGAACAGTATGACTGCACTCAAAAACCTTTTAAGACATGAGAAGTGTCAGCATAGACACATGAAAGAAAAACCCACACACCTGGAATATAATTACACCTGTAACATAAGATGTGACGCCTGAAAAAGATTGGCTGGTTCAGCAGGACTCCCAGTGCATAGCTGTCAAATCTGTGTCCGATTTTACAAACTCCAGGCTCTTCCAGACTCTGAGCTCTCGCCTCTGTAAACACAGACTGGAGCTCTGCAGACCATCATACAAAATCCTGTCGCTAGTAAAACCTGGACTGGGTCCAGCTCTAACGGGAGTCTTTCCTTCAGGTGCTTTTTTCATCAGTATAAAAATAGCCTCTGGTGAATGGCTGGTAGTTTGAGTTCAGCTCAAAGTGCTGCCGCGGTGTGTGGCATCAGACTAAGTGAGGGTCGTTCGCCGGGCTGACAGTAAAACGAGACGACGTCACTGCGTTTGTCCCGAGAGGAGACCTGGGTTTGTTTGAGTACTCCTCTTTCCTTTTGGAGTCTTTGCGTTTGGTATTTGGCCCTTTAAATAATAAAGAGATAAGATGAATGTGATTAACATAAAAGTGCATACAGAACTAATATATACTGTTATCACAGTACAACAGAGAGCAACAATGAAAAGCTCTAGGATAAAAATATCAGTTTATCCAAGCACTACAAAATTATATAACACTTTATTTTAGCTACAGTGCTTCCATTTGCACAGCACAAAAAGTCAAACACCAGGCTTTTATTTAAAAGGATCAGATATGGACTTACCCCGTACATCCAGCTTAGAGTTTTTGACAGTGACAGGGGGTGGGCCTGTGGGAGTGGTGACACTCAGTTCATTGGTGGGAGTTTCCTGTTTTAATGAGAAATAGTGGTCAGACATTTTATGGGCAAGATCTGTGTTTTTGAGAGGATAACACTGTACCTGATCAAACAGGTAAATAGTGACATCGTCAAAGAAGGAAACGTTTCTCCCTATGTCCCTCGGCCGATCCAGGGGCTCTTTAGGTGACTTGAGCAGACTCCTCAGCCCCACCCGTTTGTCTGTGTCCGTCTCCGTGACAACAATGACTCGTCTGGAGCTCTCGTCCTCCTGCTCATCTTCCTCGTCTTCATCCTGGTCACTTCCCGGGGACAGACCTCTCCGGCGCCCGAGGCGGCTACCGATCGCTCCGTCTCTGAAGCCCTTTCCTGTCGGAGGAAGAGTCACAGCCAGAGGAGGGAGAGCCAGGGACAAACGCGCTAACTTTGCTGCCAACACAAAAACAAAATATATGTAACACATTAGACACTCTAATCATCACCATTAAATCATTTCACATATTATGTTCTTCAGGTATTTACTATTTAGTATTAAACTATATACATACGGAGATAATTATTTAACATTTTATTCACCGGAAATTGCGATATTGACGGTACAGCTTAATAACAGAAATAGGCCCATTGGACTTCCTGTTCACAGAACTGAGAAGCCATGACTCTCCATAGTGGCATTTCACCATAAGGAGCAGCAAATTTGCATCTCTGTTTTTATTATTAAAATATGACATTTTTAACTCTACATGTATGAACCATAGTCTGAATTTTCTTAATAAATTCAAGGAAGTACAGACTAGAGGGCAGGGGTAGGGGGTGGTGAAAGCAGAAATGTTCAAAATTCAACCTCGAATGCAGGACAATACAGGATACTCAAACATGCTTTAATCATTTGAAATACGACACTAGTAAGCACATTTATGGTGAGGAAAGATGGATATATATATATAGATGTATTATGCCCTACGTAATATGCCCCCTTTAATGTAAACATACCTTTCATTGCCTGGTTTGCGGTTTGTTGAGTTGGTGAAATTTCAGGCTGTTCGATCACAGTGAGTGTCTCAGTTTGATTTTCCTCTGATTGGTTTTCACTCTGTTCAGCGCTGGATACTGCATCTTGATTTTCTTGGCTGCATTAGAGCATTACAAATAAACATTAAAAAGGTGACAACAAGAAACAACTTTTTTTGCCTCAGAAATCAATCCTACCTTTCCTCATCTTCCTTTAATTCACTGACCACTTCTCCATTGCTTACAGTTTCTGCCCCCTCTGCAATTTGCTCCCCCCATGTCCGCAGCTCTGCTGTGTCCTTTATGGTCTCTGCTAATAGCCTGTTTGTCTTCACATTCTCACTGAGAGAAAACTGTAGGCGTTCCTCACAGACCTAGAATAATACATATTGAATTTACAATCACATCAAGAGCTAGTCAGGAAAGATTAAACTAGGGCTGGATATCATAAAAGAAAAGGTACTTCAAGGACGGAACTAATCCTAGATAACACCGAGACGAATCTAGAACTAAAACGTAAACAAGTCTACATCAGTACAAAACCAGGAGTGAACACTGCCTTTCTAATTTATTTCAACCATGGGACAGCACAGTAACTTTGTAAAGAACTTTCTCAAGACCCATATGTCAGAAGAAAAGTTTAGTTTTGTTTCCAATAGTTTTTTCAGTACTAGAAGTATCTTAAATTATCTTTAACAACACCCAGCCCTAGACTGAACTCAAAGTAACTCACCTGCATCATAAGTCCGTTCACTGTCTTTGAATGAGAGCTCTGATCCTTAACATCTGTGGGCACCATTTTGGATATCTCCTCTCTCTCCTCTTGTAGTCCCACCAGTGTAGCCTCTTCTAACCCAGCACCACAAACTTCTTCTTCACAGTTATCTGCATTTCTTCCATTCTGATCTGGACTTTTCTTTAATGACTCCAAAAGCTCCAGATTTCCCAGAAAAAGGTCTTCTTCATCGCCAGAAATACAACACAATTTTTCAAGTTTTTCAAAATCCTCCAATGGCTCCTCGTCCAAATCTTTCCACTCAGAAATCAATAATTTGGGGATTGTGTTCACATCTTGTTGCGTAATTTCTTGAGGTGTTTTATGGACAATATTGCTTTGTGAATCCTCATTTTTGGATGTCAGTGCAGTCTCGTGGGCTAGTTTATTATGCACAGGAGAGATGACTTTTGTTTGAGTTGTAGCAAGTGATTCTGGGCCTTCTACACTGTTAGCTGCAGAAATATATGAGTGTGTCTCTGTGTTGGCTACAAGCTCTTCGAGATTCATGTTAGTAATAAACTCCTCGGTGACAGATGGCGGAGGACTGGGGAACGAATCGTCCAAACTTTTCTCATCTTGCACGTCGAGGTCAATGCTCTGCGGAGGACTGGGAAAATCGACCGAGCTAAAATTGTCTTGTGATTGGTCCAAGACATCCTGCATTCTTACATCACTGGGTTGAAATTCAAAGGACATGTCTCTATAGCCTTCCACTGCATTTACTGTTGGACCGTCACCCCATTGTTTTGCTGGGCTCATGTCAAGTTCAGGATCTGCAAGCGATTCTATATTTTCAATTTCTTGTAGGTTGTTTTCATCTCTCTGTGAACAAAGGATTGATATTCTTGTCACGTCACATATTTTACTTAAAACCTGTTCTTTATTTTCAATGCAACTCTGAGGCCACTTGTTGAAATTTTGATTTTCTGTATCAGTAGTTTCGAGATCACAATCCGGGCCCTCTTTGCTCCTCTGTCCTCTCCCTATAGATTCTCTTTCTGGGGTTTCAATGTTGTCAACTTCAAATTTTACAATTTCTTCATCATTTTCTTGCAAATTATTACTGTCAGAAATATCCTCCATGTTTTCTTCTTGCTGTACATCTAAAACCTGTTCGAATTGTTGCTCCCACTTTGGCTTGAATCCAATTATGTTATGTCCTTGTAACTCATGGTTGTTTGTGTCTTCACCGTCCTCTAGCACAGCTGGGTGGGGTTCACTTCCGGCCAGTTCATCATTCTCCTCCCAGAATTCCTCACAGATAACTATCCTTTCCCTCACTCCCCATTCTGCGTTACTAAACCCAGTAAAAAACTCAGATTTGAGCTCTGTGTCTTGGGATCGTTTTTCCGGGGAGGCCCACTGGTCATTTTCATCAGGGCGGGAGTGGGTTTTTTGCTCTGAAAAGCGGTGGCAATCGAATTCTCCCTTGACAATTCCGCTCCCTGTCTCGTCCTCCTCATCCTGGCTGCAAAGTGACCTCCGATTTTCCTCCTCTTTGTCAACAGAGCCGTCTCTCCACATCTCTGCTCTTCTATAGGGAGATGAACTGGCCATATTGTTACTGCCAGACTCTGCTGTTTC